CTGCCTTTGAGGCATCAATGGTTTTCTTCACTCGGGCCACTAGTACGGACCCGTCGTCTTCTTCTTCCTTGTCTTCATCCCTTAGATGCCGAACTGATTCTTCGGTCAAGGTTCCGATATGCGGCCGAAGAGTCAAACGAGGAGGCTATGAGCACGAACCAGGAACTATTGGACGAGAGGCATAGGGCCGCCCTTGTCCTGTTAGCCGCCCAAAAATAACGGATCAAAAGGTGTAACAATCGGAGAGCCAACCTCCGACACTTCAATATCGGGGACTTAGTATTAAGAAATATGACACTGAACACCCGGAACCTGAATGAACGGAAGATGGGACCGAATTGGGAAGGTCCATATTGAATTATCGAGATTACCAGTAAAGGTTCATACAAAATCGAAGCAGGGAACAGTGAGCGACTACCAAAAAACTGGAATGTAACCCACTTAAAATGATACTACTGCTAAGGTACGACCCCATTCATTCTTTCCTTTACAAATATTACGAATTGGACTAACACTTGCAGGCAACAACCAAAGAATGGTGCAGCTATTAAGCCTGAAAGCACGTGTTGCACTCTTTTTCCCTTGAATCGGTTTGTCCCAAATGGGTTTTTCGGCAAGGTTTTTAACGAGGCAACAATGGATCGTGCTAAATTAGAATCTAAGACCGGTTATGAACCAGAATCGATGGTCATGTCAACAGTATCCGAGCCTCTCGACGATCGACCTCAAAAACTGGGGGCCACCACTCTCAGGTAATGATTTTAGCAAGGAAGGAAACTTTGTTCTTGAACATTTTGGGCTCGGCGGATAGGATTTATTGTAAGGTTCAAACGGTCAAATAAATCGTGCCCGCATAGACCATCTAAGCCATAATACGAAGCTTGTACACACTTGCAATCTTGTATATTGCACACAGGAATGATAGAAAGTTTCTACCTTGCAGATATATATTTTGCCCCTTAAGACTATTACATTTTGTTCCTTAAGGATATCGATCCCAAGGGCCGCCTCTATACGGATCCAAGAGATCACCCCCACTCGAGGACTGTCATCCAAGGCAAACTAGGAAGACTCGGGCAATCTAAGCCCGGGGGCATAGAAACCTATTAGACAGTGCCTAAACTTAAAAAACTACAACCACCCCCACTCGGGGACTGTCGTCCAAGGCAAGTTCAGACAGCCCGGGTATCAAAGCCCGTAGGTACAAAGCCTATTAGGTAGTACCTGAACTTAAAAGGATACGACCGCCCTAGAAACGGCCAGGAGACGTCCAAAGCCCTTAATCAAATAAGGCCTTCAAAAATTCCAAACCGGTTCAAAGGCTACCCTCGGCAAAACTATAATCTGAAAATATCTAAACAAGCATTTCGGGGAAAACTTCCATTCATATCGAGCCCCCACGAGTTTCAAACAAAATTACATCGAGAACGAGCCTTGTTCGAACCTCTGAACAAGAACTTATTACTAAGTTTTATTTAGAGTTAAGGCATTTGAAATCTTTGCAATCATAAAAAGGAAACCAAAAGAAACGAACTCAAAAATTGCAAAAGGGAAAANAGGCCCCAACAAAATGAACAAAATGCAAAAACAAAGAAAAATCCCTAAGGCACCTAAGACTGATCTTGACCAGAACCCGTCTCGTCATTGGGGTCGTCGGGGTCTTCTCCATCCTCGGGTTTGCCGGAGCCCTCAGAGCCTTCCTCATCCTCGGTCAGCCAGCTTATTGGCCTAGAGCCTTTTCGCATTTTCAATCTCGGTTGATAGGTCGAAACCCCGAGCATGGACCTCCTCAAGAGTCTCCCTACGGGAAATCCACTTCACGTACTCAACGGTAACTTTCAGATGGTCATGGGCTGCCTCGGCATCAGCCCTGTACTGGGCCACCATCTATTCAGCATCGGCCCTGGTTGTTTCCGACACAGACCTCGTCGTTTCGAGCTCCTTGCCAAGGGCATCCCGTTCAACAATGGCCGAGCCCAATTGATACTGAAGGCTTTCGATTCGTTGAGCCCGTGCTTCATCTTTCTTTCTCGCCACTCGGAGTTGGACCTCCATCGATGCCAGTTGCTCCCGGGAAGTCTCTTTCTCCGAAGCCAATCGGTCCATTTTTCCTTTCCACCTATCGGCCATGGCCTTGACCTCGTTTATCTCGGCTTGAAGTTGGTCGATCCTGTCAACTTTCTGTTGGAACTGTGAGGTTTTGGCGTTAGTCACCATGTCTAACTCGACATCACTAACTTCAAAGATATTTACCTGTCCCACCAGGTCGGCATGCTCCTTTTGAGCCGCATCCAACTCATCCTGGAGACTCTTGACTGCTTCTTCACGTTGCTCGCTGAGAAGCTTATACATGTCCATCTTCTCAGCAAGCTCCTTGACCTCAGCCTCGAGCTAGTTAGCCTCAGCCTGGCACCGAAAAACACTTTCATGATGAAGTACCGAGGTCTACAAAAATATAAAAAAGAAAAGGCATGAGAGATATCAAAAACTAAATCCAAGGATGAAGGAGTGTAATGACGCCTTACCCGGTTCAGCGCATGATATGCTTCGTTTAACAAGCATGACGTATCCATCTCGTTCATTTTCGCCTGGTCTTCTTCGGTTACAAGGCACATGAGGTAGCTAGCCACTCCAACGGGGGCGGAAAGAACTCGGGCATCCTCCAGGACGGTGATGATTATTGACCACTTTCGGCCAGGATCCGTGCTCGGGGCGGGGAATCAGTTGATTAATTTTGGGCTCGAGTTCAGCCCGCCAACCTCCGAAGATAGGTTTTTCCTTGGCACCTCCAAGTCACCAAACCTGAAGAAGTCTCCCAGGGCAGTTGAGTTCACTCCTTCAAAAAAGCAATGGACAGGATCATCTGCACCATGGGCCCCTTCTTTGGATCGCTCCTTCATTGCTCGAGCTTCGTCGAATATAAACTCGGTGAACGAAGGCGGCCCCAAAATTTCTATGACACCGGGCAGAGCGGAGCCGGTGTCACGAGGGGTCTCGGCCCTTACATCTACATCGGCCTCCTGAACTTGAGAGGGATCACCCTCCGTTGTTTCCCCTATGGTTGCCACCCGCTCTTCGGGGAAGGACGACTTACATGCCACTAAAACGTCACCTTCCTCGGGCTCGTCCCTGAGCCGGAAAAGCGAGTCTGAGTCAGGCGCTCGGGAGCCAGAACTCTCATTTGGATTACGGGCTAACCTTCTCTTTGGCCTCTTCTTCTCTGAGCTCGGAGAACTCGGAGCCCTCCTTCTCTTCTTCTCTCCGGCAGCGGCTCCGGGTTGACCCAAAGCGGAAGGATCAATGGACAGGTCTTCGTCCCCTACTAAAGGCCTAAGCTCAACGATCTTAGGTAATCTTACAAAAAGAAAAGAGAGATTAAGAACATGGCGCTGAAAAGGGGAGCCTAGTGTTACTTATTCGGGGAAGAAATCTTACTATGGGATCGGGCCTCCCAGCGCCCCTTTGAGAGTTCGCGCCATGAGCGCTCAGAATAAGTCATCTGCAAGAAAATTCCCTCGATCATCTCCTTGAGCCGAGGAATGTCTTTTGGGACTCGAGCAAGGGCTGCACCACCACAAATACTGATGAGGAAAAGGGAGATAAAATGTAAAATCGACATCTGAAAGAAAGTATGCTTACGTGATACATTCCACTTCTTGGGGAATGGCCTAAATCCAGTAGGGATCAGGTATGTGGTCCTCACCCGGACAAAGCATCCCTGCCAACCCCGATCCTGGTCCTCATCGATGCTGGAAAATGGGGCTTTTCTATTCCGGAGTACGAGCTTTATCAGTCCCCACCGGAAGATTCGGGGGACTGTACAAGCAGAGTAGATGATCGAAGGTGAACAAACAGGAGTCGACCTTGTTCACAAATATCGAAAGAGGATTACGACCCTCCACAACGATGGAAGAATCTGATGAGGCATACGTCATACCTCCTACAAAGGTCGAGGATAACCGGTCCACCGGGCCAGTGTAAAAAGATAAGTGTAGACACTCAAATATCCCTCCACATGGGTAGTAATATCGTCATCCGGCCCGGGGACTACTATGTCCTTATCCTCCCAACCACAGTCGTTTTGAACCACAAGAAGGACAGCCTCGGTGATGGAGCAGATATACCTAGATACCGCCTCGCATCGACCTTGCACTGATGATGGCTTTTCGACCTTAAAATCGCCTGCGACAGAACACCCCCGGGGACGAACATTTTCAAGGGGGCTTGGCTGCCGGTTCATCGGCAACCGCACCTGGAGCGGACCTCTCAAGGACAACCACGTCGGGGGTGGTCTCCTCGACTTCGGTGGACGACTGCGGAGAAGAAGAATCACTCTTTTGAGGAACGATTTTGGAAGTTTTTGCCATTGTTATCTGGAAAAAGGCTTGAAAAAGTATGTAGGAAGGTTGGGAGATGAAGGGTAAAAGCTTACTAAGGAAATCAAGCAGTGCTGGTTTGGGTAGAAGATTAATAAAAACTTGTAATTTGTTGAGAAATCTTGAAGAACGAAGGTAAAAACGTTGGGGTACAAAGAAAAGCAATAATATCCTGAAACTTTCGAAGGTAGAAGCTTGGCCAATAGTAAAAATGAATTAAGGAGAGGAGTATTTATAGGGGCTTCGCGCCGTTTCCCGTCCAGGGACGACCTGCCGATGGCTGACACGTGTTTGAAGTCATTATGACGCGACTGACTGGACATTTCGGATCTTTTGTCATTTCTATTACGGTGTATTGAAGAAGGAATTGGAGTGCTCATGTCGTTTCTCGTCGTGAACTTACTCTCCGAGAAATGAGGGGACTATCTGTATACGGGTGAAATCGAGCCCTTGAGACGCCTCGATTTCTGATGAAATAAACGGAGCAAGAAACGTGATGGCAAGGAACCAGAATCGAGGCGAGGAGCCCCTCGAGTCGGGGTTCGGGGCAAAATGTCCGCCCTCGAAATATCGTAGCCATGACCCCGGGACCGATTAGAATCCTAAAGGCCTTGGAGAGCACAATCAGGCAATCGAGCATGACCAACAAAAGGCCGTAACATCCGTGATCAGCCGGATATCACGGTGTGGATCTCGGAATGTATCGGCAGGAATCTGGTAATTGGTTAAACGGAAGATATTTACCTTTTATGGAATTGTACTTAGAGTAAAACTCCCCTATTATATAAATGGGGGTCTGACTATTCATTAAGCACATGAAATATACCCTTATTTCTTTGAGCATGCCCTTATTTCTTTGCTATTCCAAGTTCTTACCCGAATTAATCAATTCTTCATTATCGTGAGCCCGAGATAATTCATCAATTCCTCATTATCGTGAGCCCGAGATCAAAGGCAGGCATTTCACTGAGTCTGAATTCACTCCCCCCAATTGGTTCAACGATTTATTACGTTCTTTATCCGTCTGATCTATCGTGATTTATCATTTGTATTGAATTAATCTGCATATCTTTAAAACACAATTGTTATCCGTATTTTTCGGGTAAACAAACACAATTTCAAATTTACATTTTCTTGCGTAATATTCCAAATACAGGCTCATGTCGTCTCTTATTAGTTGATCTAGAGTAGTGGGACTACAAACTTCAAGCTACTACCAAGTCCTACCCACGCTTTATTTGCGCTTTGGGCTTAAAGCCCCAACGGGCCTTAGAGCTTTTTTGCGCTTTTTGCCTTTGATAACACTTTCGTCAATCAGTACTATGACATCAGTAAATAACATACACCATAGCACCTTCCCTTGTATGTGTCGCATCAGCACATCCAACGCTAGGGCAAACAAAAACGGGCTAAGGGCAGATCCCTGATGCAACCCCATCTCCACAGCGCAATGACCAATCTATGCAAAAATCATTTCTCATATATTACTGCAGATCCAGCACTGAGAAATCTGTTGCCTCCAGCTATGAAACTCAATATAATGTCCCCTCCCTGATCTCTCTACCCCTCTATCCTTCTCCACCTAAATACCAGACATGGTTCACTTTTGTATTACAAATACCAGACTTGATTACCAGCACAATTCGAATTCGTCCTGCACTATACTACCTAAGCCCTGAGGCTGGAAGCAGAACTATTAGCAACAATTTGACCCTCAGAAGGAACTCAAATGGAAAGGGAAGCAGATAAGAAGCTGATATGCCACACCCCCAACCTTATAAGGGTGAGAAGTTGCTTATATTCTATCATTGCAAAGCAGGACTTCAGTAGCTCTCTCTGCCCTTGTTGAATTGCAGAAATGCATAAAATAGACCTCAAATATTCTTTTATAGACAGTGGGGCTTAGGTATGCAATTCCTGCACCGCAACTAATTCATTGGCACCCGCTACAGCCCACAAACACGAGTTCCAGTAATTATGCCTACGAAGGCTAGAGAAGATGGGCTCACGCTGTGTTATAAATGGTATGCAGATATGAGATCTCTATGTTATTAGTCTATGTCTCAACCATCCAATCATCATCTTGGAGAACCCAAACGTCATGATTTTATCCATAGGAAGTTTTGGAGAACCCAGTCCCACTATTGCTTCAAAAATAACCATTAACCATCTCAACCAATATCCTCAAGGTGAAGAACTAAAACACATTTTGTTTAGGTTAACAATTAAGTATTACTTAGGGGAAGAAAAAAAGGACAATCAAAATCGAACTCACTCATTTTGTAAAAAACCCTCCCGCCAATACCACTAGACTATAAGATTTGGTGGTAAAATGCATTGAATAGACACTTGTGGAATTTCTGTTTCTATAGTAATAACCCATAGCTACAAACCCAAAAATCGCACCATCTAGCTCAATTTAGGATTGGAATTCCAAGCCTCCAAACTAGCTGAAAACTACAGAAGATTCTATATTTATGTCAAAACCCAACATTTACTCGTGAAAGAGCATACATATTTAAAAGTTAGCAAAATTTACCTGTGGGGAAAAGTCAAGTACTTAGTCATAGGGACAGTAATGATATTCCTCCTAGCATTAACATCGGACTTTTGGATAGCAGCAATCACCTCTTTAGCCTTACCAACTCCAACACCCACTTGCCCTTTCTTATCACCCACAACCACAATTGCTCTAAAATGCAATTGCTTCCCACCTTTAACAACCTTAGTAACTCTCCTCACTTGCACCACTCTCTCATCAAACCTATCTTTGGCCTTCTCTTTCTTAGTTTTCCCAAACCCAGTTGTCTTTTTCACCTTAGAGTCCATTGTATAAATGTCATTCCCAAGGAAAGTCTCTCCACTATAAGCTGGCCCATAAAGCTCTTCATAAGCTTTTGCAATGTCGTCTTCGGATTCTAAGGGGCCATCGTCGAAAGAGGGTGGTTCTATGAAGTCTTCAGGGCGTTCTGGAGGATCAAAAGTGGAAATTTCTTCTGGGTCTGTGTTTTCAAAGAAAGTGGTTTCGACGGTTGTGGAATTGGCTGTTATGGGCTTGAGTTTTGATAGGTGGATGGGTTTAGGGAGGAAGAATGATTGGGATTGAAAGGGTGAAAAACAAGAAGGGGTTGTGCGTAGAGAGAGGGAAGAGAAGGTGGAGAGCGAAGCAGATGCTGCTGCCATTGTCTCTTGTCTTGTGCCAATGGCGAAGTACAGTGGAAGAAATGTAATCTTCTTATCCTTTAACTTTCAAGTGGTAAGATGGGCTGAGTTTAGGACTAGTTGACTACGATTTGGGCCTAACTTTGGGCCTCTTGTAATGAGTGTATGTAGTCTTAGAAGAAAGAAGATTTAACCCAAATAGTCATCCACCTAATCTCTTAAACTTAAAATAGCCGGCGAATATATAATATATATGTATAATCTATGTATATCGGCTAGAAAAAGTGATCATTAAATCTGACCCGCTATTTCTGTAACAATCCCTAGAAGAAATGACACCAGGTACTCACTCTAAAAGGCTGCTATTTAGTAAGGAAATTTTACCTCCTATATCAAAGGTATACACCCTATTTATTATAAATCAAAATTATTTTTAAATATTATTTTCTATAGCTACCTTTTATATTTTATAGCAAAATAGGTATTTATGGATATACTACCATTGAGGCATGAAATACGATATTTATATTTTTACTCTCTCTTTCTTTCAATTAACAAAAGATTCTCTCTCAATTTTCTTCTTCTTTCTCTCTCTCTTCCTTCTCTCTCTCGTCGAGCAACTCAAGCCCTAGTATTGATGGCCGACGAGAAAGAAAAATCTCTCTCTTTTCGAGTAACTCAAGATACACGCCCTACTATTGATGGCCGACGAGACATTAGAATAGAGTAGAAGGCAGCCAGGAAACAGAAAAGAGTGAATTTTTCAAACGTAAAGGAACAATGTGATGAACTCTTATCATAAATTTATTGTACGGATCCGACGAACTTTCTTCTCTTCTTGGCCGGAAAACGCCATATTCGACGAACTTTTTTCTCTTCTTTGCTATTTAGTCACATATAATGATACACATACATTGTATTATGTACAAATTCACTCAAAAATATTGTATTTTTATATAAATACATTTATTTTGCATGTATTTATGTATTTCGAAGATCTATATTTTTTTAATACAGTTGAATACATGATATAAATATTGAAATACACTGAATACAAACATTAAAATAGAACAGAATATAACAGAATAGTATTGATGGCCGACGAGACATTAGAATAGAGTAGAAGGTAGCCAGGAAACAGAAAAGAGTGAATTTTTCAAATGGAAAGGAACAATGTGATGAACTCTTATCATAAATTTGTTGTACGGATCCGACGAACTTTCTTCTCTTCTTGGCCGGAAAATGCCATCTTCGACGAACTTTCTTCTCTTCTTGGCCGGAAAACGCCATCTTCGACGAACTTTTTTCTCTTCTTTGCTATTTAGTCACATACAATGATACATATACATTGTATTATGTACAAATTCACTCAAAAATATTGTATTTTTATATAAATACATTTATTTTGCATGTATTTATGTATTTCGAAGATCTATATTTTTTTAATACAGCTGAATACAGGATATAAATATTAAAATACACTGGATACAAACATTAAAATAGAACAGAATATAAACAGTGAATACATTTAATTTTAAAATATAGTGAAATACAGTAAAATATACTGAATACAAATAGAAATATAGTGAATACAACCAATAAAATATACTGAATACGGTAGTAATAACATATATTAGGAATAACTAAAATACTGTCAATACAATACATTTGAATACACTGAATATAAAATAGAGAATACAGTAAATACAAACATTGAATCTAATGAATGCAACATCAAAAAAAATATTGAAACACACTAAATATAAAAGTTAAATACAACAGTTATACAACTGAAAAATTATTCTAACTAATTAGATTGATAATGAGGCATGTTAGAATTGATTTTATTTAGTTATATTAGGAGTGTATCACACTAATTGATATTATTTCTGTTATTAGACAGCTGGACATACCTATTTTTAAGGTGATTGACGTTACTATATTTATGAATAAATGGCGCGAATACATGTGAATACATGCGCGTACAGCTGCACTGCCCTGATTTTAGGCGTTTTTTGCTGTTGTATTCATTAATACAGCAGCGCAAATACAACGAATACACTACCGTAACAACTGAATAGTAGTTATAGGAAGTAATCATGTATATCGTAGCTATAGGAAGTAAATATTTTTTCCACATCATAAAAAAGTAGTCGGTTTGTTGAAATGAAAGAAAATATTTTTTTCACATCATGAAAAAAAGTACTCATTTTATTGAAATGAAAGAAAATACTTTTTCTACATCATAAAAAGAATATATTCATTTTGTTGAAATAAGAAAAAAAGTACTCTATTGAGAACATGAAAAGAAAGTACTCTTAATAATATTTCTATTTATGGTGGTTCATGGGCGAGGTTGGGGTGGATGGGG